TTCTTTCTTTCTTTCTTTCTTTCTTTCTTTCTTTCTTTCTTTCTTTCTTTCTTTCTTTCTTTCTTTCTTTCTTTCTTTCTTTCTGATACTGGCGATCAAACTTGGGCCCTTGTGCTTGCAAGGCAGGCAACAGAACCACTGAGCCAAATCCCCAACCCTTAGAACATATTTTTTAGTGTCCATTTTGCCTCTTCTGTAGAGTTGGCACTAAAGGGGCCAAACTAATTTTCCTTTTTATGAGATTAATTTTTTAAAATTTTAACTTATTTTTATGGTATACAACATGCTTTAGGATATATATTTATATATGTTAAATAAAATATATAATGTATAAATATAAAATATATTTTAAAGTTTTAAATCAAGCTAATTAACATATCATGTCTATCATTTCATATACTTGCCTTTTTATGATAACATTAAAAATCTCATGCCGGACGTGGTGGTGCACGCCTGTAACCCCAGCCCTCAGGAGGCTGAGGCAGGAGCATCGCTGTGAGTTCGAGACCAGCCTGGGCTACATAGTGAGTTCCAGGTCAGTCTCAACTACATAGTGAGACCCTGTCTCAAAAAACCTAAGTAAATAAATAAATTTTATTTATTTATTTTTACTGTGTTTCACAAGAGATCTTTAGCACTTCTCTAATTCAGTCTTTCAACCAGACTCTCTCCATTTCTTGGTACTGCCTACCTTCAGCCCTTCCTTGATAACTGCTTTCTAATCTTCTTTGTACTCTTCTGCTTCTTTTGGTTTCATATACTATTGGGGGGGGTAATTTTTTAAAGTTTACCTTTTTTTTTATCCTGTGTCTATATTTACAGTTCATCTCTTATATACAACATATGTAAGTGGGGTTCTTTTGGTCTATAACCCTGTAAGTTTGTCTTTGTATTTATAAAATATAAACTACTATATACTTGGGTCTTATATTTTATATTTTGTTTTAAAATTAACATTAAAATCTCTGTCTTTTAATGTAGGATGTTTACTTATTTATATTCATTGTGGTGTGTTGATACAGTTGATATGCTTACATTTAGGTTATCTTGCCATGTGTGGTTTTTTTCTTAGCCCCACCCACCCCTACTTTTATTCTTCTATTGCTTATGTCCTACTTGCTTTAGGGGTCTCTGAAAAAAATTTTAGTGTCTTCCTTTATTGCCTTCTTATGCTTTTTATTCTTTCATGATTGCTCTAGTCTTAACAATGCATTTTTAACATATCAAAGTCAATATTGTACTTCTCACCTTTCATACTTCATGTTAGGAAAGTAATTAGAAAAAAGTTCCTTTTACCTTTCATTATTTCTATCATTTTCAGGTCACACTGTCCTTTTTATTTTGCAAGCTTAACAGAAAGTTCTTGAAAGAGTTACAGTGAAATGATTAGAGAGGCAGAGTCAGAAAAGACAAGTATAGCCAGTGGGAAGCAATATCTGGCAACTGAAATAGAGGGTTTATACTCTGGTTTTTTTTGTTTTTGTTTTTGTTTTGTTTTGTTTTTGCTTTTTTTAAGTTCCTTAATTTTTAAATTTTATTTATTTATTTATTGTTTTTGGTTACCAGGGATCAAACTCAGGAACTCACACTTGCCAGGCAGGCACTATGCGGTTGAGCTAAAGTCCTGGCCCCCTTAATTCTTAAATAAGGAAGATTACAAACTGTTGTTTTTAAATTCTCAGTGAGTGGCAATATCTTATAGATTGCTCTTATGAAACATTTTTTTTCCTAAGTAGTTCTTTCCATAGCTATTACTTTGAAACTTCTAGATTCTTGGATGGTAACTTGGTTAAAGAAAGCTTCATGATGACAGTAGCTCTTCCTCTTGTGCATCCTACAAAGAGATCAGGTATTGGGTTAGTCATTAGACTGTTGTTTTTCATCTCTTAATCCACTCTTTTTATTCTGTTATTGTGATGCTGGGGCTGGGAATCCACTCCAGTGATTCTCAGATAGTTAATATTTTATGGATTCTGTTGCTGCTGAATTGCTTCTGCTTCTTTTCCTTTAAAAAAATTTTTTTTAATTTTGTGGTATTGAACTTGGGGCCTTGAACATGCTAAGCAAGGACTGTACCATTGAGCTATACCTCCAGCCCTATGCTCTTCATTTTTCTTTCTTTTTTAACAAATATAATTCTTTTTAAAAGTACATACTATTGTTAGCTCACAATCCATACAAAAACAGGTTGCCAACTGAGTTTGGCCCCCAGGTAATAGTGTTCCAACACATTGGTCCTTTGCCAGATGGTGGGAGACATTAGAAAAAATTAAAATGCCTGAACATTGAGAAATGATTTCATTTTCCCCTTCCGTTTATTCCCTCTGAACTACATTTTTAAAAAACCTTGGCATAGACAAGTAATTTGAATTTTCACCATTCCCTCAATGCTGAAACCAGCAGTAACAAAACTAACTGGCCAGTATTTTATCCTCAGAGGTCTGGAGTCCAACTCTGCAGGGCGCCTTCTTTAAACTTTTAGGTTCTAATAACCCTACCAGCCCTAATGATAGTTACTTCTTCCTGTAATTATAATCTATCATGCTGTTTCCTCAGTATTTCTCTTTTGCCCTTTTGATCCTTTTAGTGCACATTTAAATAGTTCTCTCTATTAATTCTCTGTTGAAATACCCTGATCTGATGTCTGTCTTCCTGATTATACTCTGATCTTTAAGGCTGTACAGGTAAGCTATGGAAAAAGATTCCATGGAGAATCACCTGATATCTAATAAGACTTGTTAGAGTTTTATAATTTTTATATTGTATCAGGCTCTGACTTGTATTAAATGAAAGCAGTTGGTAAGATGCTAAGTTTGAACACCTTTAAAGAGGATTAAATGATTTGTGTCTTAGTATATCATATCTAACCCCCTCTTAAGTCTATTTTATTTTCTTTTAAAAGTTAAGATTCCTTAACTTATTGGTATAGTTACACACTATGGAGGGTCAATTACTTAATAGTAATTTCTTTATAGTTTTATTAATCCCTATGCATTAATTGGAGTCACTGTCTTTTTCAAGTGAACATTTTCAATTTTACTAATCTTTATTTAGTTGTCAGATTTTTAGTATGTTATATTAGAAGCTTTAAACTGAAAACTTTCACTTAGATTGTTGCCCACAGGATGGTAAGTGGTTCTAATTCTCAGTACCTCTCTATTTCTTCTTCAGGACACAGCCAGTGTGAAGTCCTCTAGTAGTCTGGAGCCCAATCTCTTCTGTGATGAGGAAATTCCTATCAAGTCAGAGGAAGTGGTAACTCATATGTGGACAGCACCTTCATTCTGTGCAGAACATGCTTATTCTTCTGCTTCTAAAAGTTGTTCTCAAGGTACTTTTTAAGAAATGTGAGCACAGTGCACACACCCATAATCCCAGCACTCAGGAGGCTGACAAAGGATTGCAAGTTTGGAGACAGCTAGGGTTTCATAGTTCAAGGACAGCTTGCACTACATAGCAAGATTCACTTAAAAACAGAAGTGAAAAAAGAAGTATGGATAAGATAAGCCTAAAAAGAGAGAGAAGAAACATTGTATTAATCAAGACTGTGAATCCCTGAATTGAATACAATATTAGTTGACTGCTAATAGAACTGGAAAATGCTATTTTGGGTTGGAAAAGCCAAACGCAATTTCCATTTTATAATATTAGATGATATCCTAAAAATTTATATAGAATTGCAGAGTCATAATTAGAAGAACTTCAGAGGCCATGTGGTCCTATCTCTCATTTTTATAAAAAGACTCTTGATAGGTAATCATTTGCCTTTGATTTAATCGCTATCAGTCATTGAAGAACTTCCTGATTTATTTTTTTTTTCAAAGTACATGAGGGGCCCAGAGGTCATTGTCTCAGAGCAGGTAAAGACAAAGACTCTCCAAGCTAGTCACTATTTATTGGATACACACAATAATTGGAGGGAGCATCAGGTGACTTGGTGGGGCGGCAGTAATCCTATGTGCATGCAGATATTATGCTGATGAAGATCTTAGAACATGTGTTCTTATGTTGAAGTGGACTCTGTCCAATAATCTTGGTAAAAGACCTCCAAATGAGGGGACTGGGGATTTAGCTCAGTGGTGCTGCTGCCTGCCTCACAAGTGGAAGGTCCTGAGTTTGATCCCCAGTACCAAAAAAAAAAAAAAAATGACATTGGAATAGATGTAACTCCCAAACCTGCTGCATATCCATAACTCAAGTTCATGTTCTCTAAAATTGAAGAATAAATTATTGGAACAATGTCGGTTAAGGGTAGGAAGAATTTATTGAGAGAAAGATAGCTTCTGTATTGTTTAAGAGAGACAGAAGGGGGACCAGAAAATAGATTGGCCCTTGCTGCTTTTTAAGGATATTCATTTTTTATTTGGATAACTTTAATTGTTATAAAGTTCTTCCTTTCTCTATGGATGATTTCTCTATGATGTTCACTTTTCTTTTTCCTAGTGAAAATGGGGACACAACTCTGAAAGATGGAGAGTATTTTTCTTTATAATCAAATTTAGGACTTTTTTGAGCAGCACATTTTCTGTTCATTAGAAAGTTAATCATTTATTTTTATAGGGTAGCTAACTGCTTAATTTTTTGGTATAGTGAAAAATGGAGAGAGCATGGATTAAGAGATTCTGCAGTAGTCAATAAAATAAACCAATTAATAAATAAAGAAATAAAACTTTAAACCACTTTTTAAAATTCTAGATCTCTTTGTTCTGTATTTTTTATTTCATTTTTACTTTCAATGATGTGGTGGCATGCACCTATGTAGGAGGCTGAGTTAGGAGGATTGCTTGAGCCCAGAGGTTTGAGGCCAACTTGGGCCTGATATGAAGATCCCATCCCAAAAAAACAAAACAAAACCTTTATTTTCACTTTTTTTTTTTTTTTTTTTTTTTTTTTTTTTTTTTTTTTTTTTTTTTTTTTGGTACTGGGGATTGAACTTAGGACCTTGCGCTTGCAAGGTAGGTGCTAGGACTGCTGAGTTAAATCCCTGGCCTTATTTTCATTTTTTAATGTAATGATATTGGTGTGTGTATGGGGGTTCCCCTAAACATTTACTTTGAAAACATTATATCTGTCCACAGTTTTCACTTTTTTTGTTTTGTTTTGTATTATTTTTGGGGAAAGGTACTAGCACCCCAAGGAAACAACCCCGGAAGAGCCCTTTGGTTCCCCGAAGTTTGGAACCTCCAGTGTTGGAGTTGTCACCTGGAGCTAAAGCTCAGCTGGAAGAACTCATGATGGTTGGAGACCTCCTGGAAGTGTCTCTAGATGAGACGCAACACATATGGCGGATTTTGCAGGCCACACACCCTCCCTCAGAAGACAGATTCCTACATATCATGGAGGTAAGGATTTAATGCTAATATCCTGGTTTCTTAGAGGTACCATGCATATTGGTAGAGAGATGGCTGAATGGGCAATTATCTGGCTATCCAGCTCTTCTTAAGCCAGAGCAATTCTGCTTTATGTTTATCTTTATTAAGGTCTTATGTACTATTTAATTTTCTACAAAAGGCTGTTTCTGCTAAAAATGAGTACAGATAGGGGAATTGAAAATAGTGAGTTTAGAACAACCTCCATAGCCCAGTCTCCCACTGTTGGAAGGCTAAGTTAAGTAGGAAAACAGTAGTGGTTAAAAGAAGCAAGGCCTTGGTTAAATGCTTATAGAACTGGGTTGGATGGAAGGGAGGAGTCTACATGTATATATTATACACTCATAGCAGTTTGTAATTCATGGTGTTTTGTTTTTATTTTACCTTACACTTTACTTTTACTTTTTACTATACTTTTATTTTATTTTTGCAGGGTATTAAAACAGGGTCACACACTATTGCTAGGAAAGTGCCTACCATTGAGCTACACCCCTAGGCCTCCTCCCACCACCCCCTGCCCTTTAGTGAGACGCTGTCTCACTAAAGTTGCCCAAGCTACCCTCAAACTTGTGATCTTCCTTGACTGGGCCTCCCAGGTAGTTAGGATTACAGAAATGAGCCACTGTTTCCAGCGCTATTATGTTTTTACAGCCATAATCTCATTTAATCTTTACCATGATCCTGAAGCAAAGGCAAAGGTAGGATAAATGGGGCAAATGTTTATTTTCTTCTTCATATGGAGAAATTAAGAGTGGATAGGTGGAAAATTAGGGTCACACATCTAGTAAAATTAAGAGACTTGGATTGTAACTATGGCTTCTGACTCCTACTTTGTTTTATTAGCTTTCTTATCTCCATGTAATTGAATGGCAGGATGCCACCAATTGTTGATACAGACACGTTTAGCTTACTACAGTTTGTTTTTGGTTTGCAGGACAAATCTAAGTCTAATTAAATACATTTTTTTCACATCCATTATCTCATCCTCTGTAGCTTATATAAGGAAACACAAAGTATTAAGTATTAAGAGGTTATGTATCTTGTTCAAAGTGTTATAGACTTAAAACATTTATAATGCAGTGTACTTTTGAATTCTGCTGATTCTTAGGTTCCTGTCAAAGATTCTCAAGTCTTAAATCTCCAAAAAAAGGTGAATTTGCAAATTTTTTCCTGAAAGAATTTATGGTTCACATTTTCAATACTTCTTTTTCTTAATATTTCCCTCATTCTTTCTGGTATTGGGCACTTTTTTTTTTTTTTTT